TAATATTTTTTCTATTAGAATAACAATAAACTTTATGAAATTAATATATTTATATAAAAATATCTAAAATCATGAAATTTTTCTTTACATAATTATCTATCTATAATTTAATGAAAATATTTTCAATCAGAATATATATTATATTAATATTAAAAATTCGAAATCAATATTTCATAAATTATATTATTTTTTTTAATAATTCTAGAAAAAGAATAAAATATTTCGATAATTATATTATTTTCTTAATCGAAAAAACAAAATAAATCTAATATCAAAATAAATGAAAAAAATCGCTATTTTATTTATTCTTATAATATATATCTTTTAGTATTTCTTAATTTTAATCTTTACACCTATAATCATTTATTCTCAGATATATAAAATCAAGATTTTTAATCGTTATACAGAGAATTATACGATTATTATGACGTGTGTTGTTCAGTGTGCATTGTTGGTTGAGTAAGTTGGGGTCGCGTGAGGCGTGGTAGGGTAGGGTGGGGTGGGGGTGGAGTCAACTCGCGTCAGTATTCATCAGGCCACTAAAGTTTGTGTCCACAAGCCTGATCAGATACGACCTTATTCATTATTGGTGCTCGTGCCTCCCCTTGGTTCTAAAGGTATTGGCTTTAGAGCGAATCCCCAGTTGCGCAACCCCAAATTTTCACGCGCGCGACCAAAAACGAGCACCCAATGCAACATCCCCAAATGGAGTCCCAAACCTTACAAGCTTAGTGACTTCTTGTCTGCCTCTAGTCACCTCTTTTTTTGTGGACTTGAGCTTGACGAGTCTTTTTCTCCGACAGGCATCTTAGTCTCTTTGGATGACGAAGACCAGGAAAACGCCCCCAGAAACCAGAACAAATAAGAGCAGACTCGCCATCGCAGGCGCTGTCAGTTTAAAGCCCGGGGTGGGCAAACTCCTTCAAGTTTCCGTCCAACCTTGGCACTCTTCAGTTCACGGTGTCAATGTGACATCGGAGCCGCAGAGCATGCACGCTAGACATAGTAGCGGATAGCCACCCAGACCAGAAATCATCAAATCTGGCTTGTCTGGCTTGTCAATATCCCATCCCGCGAGAGCCCCTTCATGACCCTACGCGCCAGGCTTCTCAGAACTTACAACTCGGGATTTACCGCCGAGGAGTGAACGGGTCAATCTCCAGCTTCTTCGCCAGGTTGACACCTGAACCAAAACTTCAAAGTCTCCAGCCGTCAAGCTTTGTCAAAGTCACTGGGACACCAACGAGCCGGCTTCCCAGTGGCACCTGGTGTAGCGAGTTTGAGGTTCCTGGGGCTGGTGCAACCGGCAATTCGGGGCGACCTTTGGGAAGCTCTTTCATCGTCACCAGCACCTTCACGCAGAACACATCACCAGAATTTCCGGTAGGATTTGAGATGCTTCGCCAAGATTCGCCTCGGGACACCACTTGTCCTGAAGTACCTGCCGAGGTCTGTAACATGCCAAAGCATGACTTCTTACGTGTGCATCGTTGCACACTAAGGCTTTTTTCATAAAGACACCCCCCTTCACGCAAGGTCCTTGACACAGAAGGACCGGCCTTGTCCTTCATGAGCCACTGGCGGAGATCGAAGAGCTTCAGGGACTTGCCCTCCTGCTCGTATGATGGGCATCTTCAACGAGTCCAATCTCCCAGCTTCAACGGCCGCAAGAAGCAACAGGTTTTTCTCTCTCTCGGAGCCTTGGGAATCACCACGACACCTTGGGACGTGAGAAGGCTGTGGTTACTTGCGATCTCTGCTTGAGAGGGTGTTTGGCAACGTAAGCCGAGCCCGGGGCCGACGGATTCTCCGAGCATGCTATGGGGGCCTGAGAGCGGACGTTCGGGCCGAGGCTTCGGGCTCTATGAGACGCTCTCAGCACCAGGCAAGAGAAGCAGAGAACGTCACTCACGTCGGCGTGCCTTCTGACCCTGCCAGTGAGATGAACACTTGCTAGACAGTTGAAACGTGCATGGCACGGAACATGGGTTTTCTCGCCGAAACTACGTGCGCTGGATAGATCTTAAGTCATAGGCTTCCCAGAAAGTGGTTTGGAGCAATGGTACCTCACCCCTTCTCTAGTAAAAGAACGAAGACATCCCAACATGTTCGCTTTGATGGCTGATTGCTTGTGGTTTTGTTGCAGCCGGCAGGATGGGTACCAAGGCAGCCACCAGACCGTCACGAGACCCCAGGCCCGAAAGCTGTTCTGGAAGGCTTGCAACCGATTTTCCCATCCTGCTGCTCCTTGCGTGGATCACGTTACCATGAAACCAAAGAATACTCACAAGTCCAAAAAAAACACAAGTTTGGCAACACTCGGCAAACCAACCTTGGCCTTCCTGTCTGCTTCCTCCCTCCCTTCCTCCCTTCCCTCCTTCCTTGCTTCCTTCCTGCCCCGCTAGCACCGGCCAGGCGAAAAGAGAGCACCGAGGCTTCAACGCATCCTCCACTTCGAACGGGGAGATCTGCAAAGGCTCAGCAGGGCGCGGGAGTTCTATCAACGTTTGAAGACCCACTTCAGAGCGAACTTCGACCGCTCAGCAATATCTGCACCCGGCCTTCTCACCCGCTCGGTTTATGAGCTCCTTGAAGCGGCCTCGCTGCAACCGCTCAGTACTCGCGCTCAGCCGTTAAGCTAACCACACGACCCTAGAAGGCACAAGCGATGTAAGGAGGAGGCCGATCAAGTAGAGGTATCCGTCCTCGTCCATCCAGCCCTTGTCCCCGCCTCACACTATCGCTCCTAAATCATCTTACATGGCATGGCTCGCAAATAATCTAAACACACCGGAGTCGGCAAAGGTCCGCACTCCTCATGTAGCCATCGGTGAAGGCTTCTTCGTTCGGATCCTCTCAAGCGTCGACGAAAAGGCAACAGCGGAACTCGCCTGCGTCTCGCTCTGCCCTGCCGCCCTGGCCTTGTCCATGTGCGGCCTCATCTCGTAGCCCTTCATGACCTTCACCAAAAACACAACACTGCGTTCCTCAAAAGTACAGGTGTAAAACCCTTCCCTTCCAACTTTTACCACCAGCTCGGCCGAGGGGCACAGAGACCCCTCACGCAGACCTCCCCCTCCTCTCCAGGACCTGGGACCCAGGAACTAGAGTTCATCAGCTGCCTTCGCAGCTAGCAGTGGCTTTGAAGCGGTTCTGAGGGCTCACCTTGTGTACTCAGGCTGAAATCGTTGTGGCCAACCTCGGCCTCATGCTAGGAGAGACCTAGAGCTTTTCCAAGCCGGGCCAACGGCTCAGGTTGCCGATCTTGCCGGAAAACGTGCACTCGGCTAATTCGCAAGCACCCACGGCGCCTCGGAAGCTAATAGCATCCGGCTGGAGCTGGAGATCGGTCAAGTCTGCCCACAGTCTAAGAACCGAGAGCCACTGCTCCGAGCCTGCGCACGCACTCAGGCAGCAATTCAACGTTATCAAATTCGGAACTAGCGATTCTGCCTTCATGGTTGCGAGAAAACTCAGTGCAGCTTCCCATTCCTGAGCCTTCTCACAAGCATCGATCACGCTGCCATAGCTGATGACGTTGGGAGTCAACAGTTTCTGCTTCATGTCGTCAAGCAGCAGAATCGCCTCCATCCACCTGCCGACACTTCCGCAAGAAGTGATGGCACTGCTGAAGCTGATCACGTTTGGCTGCATTCCGCGCGAGATGATGGACTGCAGCATGCTCAAGGCCTTCGCCCACTCACCGCACCTCTCAAAAACAGTGATAGCACTGTTGAGCGTCACCACATTGGCTTCGACTTCGAAAGAGTCCATGTCTGCCAAAAGCTGTAGCGCCACCAACCACTGCTCCCCTCGGCCACAGGTGCTGATAGCAGCACTATAGCTGACGACATTGGGGGTCACTCGTCCAGCCTGCATGTCTTGAAGCAAAGCTGCGACACTTCGCCACTTGCCTTCCATCTCGCACCCAAAGATTGCGCTACTGAAGGTGATCACATTTGGCTTCAAACCCTCTTCCCCCATCAGACTCAAGAGGCCAAGAACCGAAAGCCAGCGGCTGGAAGTCGCACATGCACTTGCCACACTGCTGTAGGTGACCACATTTGCAGCCACGCGCTCCATAGCCAGCGCTTTCAGAAGACTTACGGCCAGCGACCACCGGCCGACTGCCTCACAGGAGCTCACGGTGCTGCTGAAGCTAAAGACATCCCGGAGCACCGTAGCTTTCGGCATGTCTCCCAGGAGACCGAGCGTCCTCTCCCAACCACCCCGGCACGATTGGCTCGCTGCCAGGACCCTGTTGAAAGCAATGGTTCTTGGAGCTCTTGTCGCCGCAATGGACACCAGCAGTCTGCATGCAAGACGCCACTGGAGAGCTTGTCCCGAGGCACAGATTGCACTCTCAAAGCTATGTCTTGGCGGAGATCCACTCGTTGCCTGGCCCAATAGCAAACCAAGTGCATCTGTCCATGCGGCTCCGGCACGGACGCTATTCTTTAGGCCTCGATTCGAAGACATAGCCGGACACCCTCACTGGCGTGCCAGAGAAGGCAATCACCATGGTTCAAGATGGGCACCGTCACTCTGAGCAAGCCGATGGGCACGGTGAATGTGAATGTGTGCCACCGCCCTCACATTTCACAATGTGCTTTTAGAAACCCAGCGGCCCATGAGGCATCCAAAAACGAACCGCACTCTATTGCGTTCGGGTTTGGAGCTACCTGCTTGACCCCTTTGACAGGCGATGCGTGCGAAGAGTAAAGCAGGTGGCCAACGAGCTGCCAAGAAAGTCCAAGCACCGTCCATGTCGTGACTCCGGAGGCTGTCCGTCCGAGCGCCAAGCCCATGCGCTTGTTTCCCGGCCAGCCTTCCATGACCGCCACTTCGGGCCTGCAAGGGGGTCCTACAGTCCTAGATTGTCTGTCGCCTATCGTGCTTTGGGAGCCCGACCCAACGGCCGGTCCGACGGATTTCAGCTTCCTGACACCAAACCTGGCAAGAGAAAGATAGATACAACATGGATCAATCTCCCTTGGCTTCTCGAAGCAACTCCAACCCTAACTAATCTCAAAGGCACAGCTGAGGACAGCACCGCGGATTGGAGCAGAGAGGGTTAGCCTGCCAGGGGATACTCAACTGTGTTAATTCGCTTCACGTGGCAGCCACTATGCCGGGCATCGCCCACTGTTTCCCACAAGCTCCGAAACGAGTCTGCTCTAGCTCTAGCATAGGCGCCCCTCCCCCCCCCGGCCCATGCATGACCTCGGTCATGGAATAGGCCGGCAAAACTGTCGCCTGGAAGAAAGCGACTTGAAAGTTCTTTGTAGCCAGGCTCGAGACACATGCATGGCGCCGGAAGGGCCAGAAGAATGAGCAACAGCCACGTCCAAACCAGACCCCGAACAAGAATCGAAATGGCACTCGGACACAATATCTCACAGCGAGCCCGATTCCAAAACCGTGTCGTGTCATGACTCGGGTCCTTGAAAAACTCTTCCATCTGCTCGGCAAGGCTAGGCCTGGGGCATGTCCGGGGCGAAAACGGACAAGCCGAAGTATCGGGGCAGTGTTGCAACAGTGGTTGACAGGTTGCCGACAGAAGCGCGGCCGAGTCATTGCGGATGACGCGCAGCGGGCTCCTCGGCCGGACACACAGAGACCGCTCCGAGGAACCAAGGAGCAGAAACTAAGGCTTTGACTCGAAGTTCTTTGCTTCCTGCCCAGTGCCCCCTTCTTACGACTGGCCGCTCGTCCCTCCTCACGGACACTCTGGCGGCTTAGCCGTTTTCGCCTTGGCCAGCGTCATCAAAGACATGTGGTGGGCAGGCACCGCCGAGTACGAGGTGGGCCTCGGAACTCACAGAAGCCGCCAGGCACCGGTAACCGCAAAGTTGTCACATGCACAGCATTCGATGGCAGATTCCAGCCTTTACACTATGCTGACCAATGCCGTTACTTGAAAGACGGCACGCAAGCTAGTTTGTCCTCTTGAATGCACCTCCCCCTTTCTGCGCGCTTGCATGCGCACCTTTTTGAGATTTTGGCTACACATGGTTACACTACTCTGGGTCTGCACACCTTGCAGGCGGGCTGAGCTTCTGACAAGGGCTCTTTGGACATTGCCGCGAAAAAGCTGTGGGCCTGTCAGACTGAAAAATCCTGAACACAACTCCGGCATTTAACCATCCAAGGTTTCTGTTTCTGCCTGATACTGCCCAGGCAGTGCAATAAACTTTGCGCCACTGTACCTTGGAGCAATGACAGTTCAGGGGCTTCTTGTCCAAAGGGTCTTGGGTAGCACCAGCTGAACAGCCAAAACGCGCAGACATGAGAAGATTCTCCATCAAGCCAGCGATGTGGAACATTGGCCTCGGCAAACGAACCGTGCTTCAGCTGGCAATTCACATGCAGAGCTTGTTTGCCGTCATCTCAGGGCAAAACATAGTGTTGATGAAGACATCATCAGGGCCAAGTAGATTGGCGGCTGCATGGCACATACCACCAGTTGCCATGCTTTCGTGCCTCTTCGAGTGTGTCCTACTTTCGTGCCACACAAGCTCAAGCCTGACCCTCACTCTCAAGCCCGTGACGTGATTGGCACGATCTTCGGCTTCTTCGTCGTGCCGGAAGTGTGCAACACCAGGCAAACCTTCGAATGCGGTGAGGCTGCTCGGTACTGCCTGTTAATTGCTTGGAGGCGTCTTCGAGTGCCGCGCATGTTCTCGCTTCACTGTCTCGAGTGGAGGACCTAACCTCAGGTAGATGGGACAACTGTAGCCTAAGCCTACTGTTCTCGTCTGTGGCCACCTCCGTACACGCACCAGGACCGTGGCTTTTCACCCGTCAAGGGCTTCCCTGCTGCATGCTTTTCGATCGTAAAGAGCCCTGCCACCTCTGGCCTGAGCACTTCTACGTAAGCAATCTCCGTTCAGCAAAAGTTCTTTGGTCTCTGCATGCTCCAGAAACTCTATCGCGTCGCTTGTGCAGGGGATCCGGCGATGGGATCAGTTGAAGAATTATTTGAATCTTCTTTTTTCTGGCCTGTGCTTCAATAGTCTCAAGGTGCACGACTGCTCATGCGCCATGGTAGGGCACTTCGTACAAAAGGCCAACATGTTGAGAGACAGTGCTGGAGCTGCCTGCGCCACTGCTATGGTAGTTGCCTCGGCACGAGACTGGAATCTTCCTTGCTAGGACTGCGCGGCGAAGGGGGCTTCTTGGCACAGGGCCGCTTTGTCTTCGGCATCCAGGCCATCTGCTTTCTGGACCACCAGGCCCTGCAGGACAAATAAGAAGAAGCTGATTGTGTTCCATGGGAACGGGTCTTCGAGTAGCGGGAGCAGGGTTAGCAACAGGCGACCATTGCACTCAGTTCGAATTTTCCTTCTCAAGGCACGCAGTAGGATGCTTCTGCTCCATTGCGAGGTTCAGGCCTGCTACGTAACCTCTACAGCTTTGCAAGTCACTTTGAGTAGCTAGGCTTTCGGCTGGCTCAGTTATCAGGACTTAAGCCCAAACATCAAAGGACAGCTTACATCACGCCCGTCACTCAATCAACAGAATCTCGAGGTCAGGATCTTCCGTGAGCTTCGGCTCTTTGCCTTACAGGGCAAGTCGTCGTACTCGAAGTCGAACTCATCCGCCTGAGCATTCTTGCGAAAGCCTGCCCTGGGTAGCGCTGTCTCGCTTCAGTCCCCAGCCCGCAGATACAGGTTCAACGGCGCGACGGTGCAGCGAACTGCGAAGGCCTCCGGCAGTGTCGGCTACGACTTTGGGCATAGAGAACATGCTGAGGAATCTGCCAAGTAGGCCACTGCAAGCTCTGGTCCCGTCGGGAAAACTAGACAAAGCCGGTCCTGCATGAAAAGCTCCCTTCACGGTTGGCGATACTCTCTGCAAGGGCCCACTCCTCGCGACCCATCCCTGGGATGTCGTTTCTTTCATCAACGATGAACGCCTGCCATTGATTTAAGTTGGTTCATTCACCGGACGTGCGCCGATCTTGCCTTGAGCTCTTTGAAACTCAGTGGACGTCTGCCATCTGTGGAGAAAAGGAACGGCTCGTCCTCACCAAGCCGACTCTGCAGCATGTAGCTGAAACACTCGAACCCGACCCTTCACGTCCACTGCATCTTGGGGGAGGTTCATGCTACCAGTTCCACCCATGCACATCTCAAACATTGGCAGACCTTGTCTGGCAGAAAGTCCCAAAAGGTCTTCCAGTCCCCATCTGCAGGGCGAGAAGCTCCAAGCAAGCATCCGTGTGTGTGTGTGTGTGCGCACACACAGACGGTCTGGAAACAGTCGAGACTCGAAGATTCAAGAACAGCTGAAGCGCCTACGTAGTCGGTGGCCATCTTGTGCGCCTTCGGGTCGTAACCTGCAGGAAGGAAAAGCAAGCATCCAAAAAACGAAAACATGCTTCCCAACGTCGACCCGACTGCTAAGGGCTCCGAGGCTTGGACACGACTGTGCCGGCATGACGGGGCCGATATCCTTGGTACTGAGCCGAGACTATGCTTTGCTTTAGCACTGCCTGGGTGCCCCAGATCCGAGGGCGGAGCATGCGCCTGGACGGCGCCGCCCATATCTTGAGCCTCCATGGTGAAGCGCGGCCCTGCCGAAGCGGATGTCGAAGCCTTCTCGGAAGTCCATGTGCTTCTTGACTCTTGGACATGCCGGCCGTTTTTCTGATCTTCGCATGTGTAGCCGCTAAGTCCTGCTCTGGTTGCTGAGCGAAGCAAAAGCTGCAACACGCGCATCATCCGAACAGTTTGGCTGACTGCAACGACTTTCCAACAGCCACAAACTCACTGGGACGGCAAGGTCACCAATGCAAACCGCCCGATTTTCGTCGCGACCCCTTCGATTTCCATGTTGCTAACTATGCATTAAAGGGATCCTATTCGAAGCTCCGGCTTAGAGGCCGACAGCAGGGATCGCCTGGCGAGAAGCCGATGCGACTTCAGGGCGCCTTGTTCCTACCTGTTCTGAGTTGCAGGCGACGAGTCCGAAGACAACAGTGGTCAAGGAGCAGGCCAAAAGTATCGCACCAAAGCGATCGGCAAATTCCTGACGATACTTACTTCTCTCAGGAATAAGCACTGTGTTCCGGCGCCCCAAACATCGGTCCTCCACTCGGACATATTGCTTGCCTTGCGAGCCGCTTCGAGGAAAGAGCGAGGAAGGGAGCTGAGTGGCGGTTGAAGGGAAAGAGCACCCTATCCCGGCCGGGATGGTAAAGCCGAGGCGCCCCCGGACTTGAAGATTCGATTCCTCTTCCACTGCTTCAGGCACGCATGGAAGAGCAGCACCAGAGAGGCGAAGCCAACCTCGAGAACGGACAGTTTGAGACTTTGTACGCTTGGGGCCCTTAGTCAGGGCTTCAGCGCCTTCGGGTTCAGGGTGCAAGGAGGGGAAAGCTGGAGCTGACAAGTGGCAACAAGGCCGCAAACATCTGTCGCAGCAGACCTGGAGGAAGCCATCATGACCTGCGACACTCCACTTCAGAAACGGTGTAACCTACACTGTTAGTCAACTGAACCGAGTTGCAGCAGCGGTTGCCGCGAAGACTGTCGACAGCTTGGCCTTATGTTGCTCACCCGCACGACGGCTTGCACGTTGCAAGGCTCAGCACCGTCCAACCGCCTGAAGCCCAGTGAAGAGTCCAAGTGGCCCAGTGAATAAAGGTTCGCTCAGTGGAAAACCACACCTGCAGCGCACCGCTCTGTCCGATGATGTCGAAGACCCTCCAAGCAGCAAGGTACAGATCGGCTCCTGCCGCGCACCTTCGGCTCCACCTTCACTGTCGGCATGGATGGATTGCCTGAAACATCTGACAACACATCCGGAAGTTACCTGACTTGAAGCTGGTCTGGGCAACCTGGCAGCAACGTTATCAATCAATCCCATGGGCCGTCACGACATGCTTGGGCTACCGTCTGTAGCTGAAACATCGGAGCCAGATATCAGTGACATGACATTGACCCGAAAAAACATAAGAACAAAAAAACAGTCGAGCGATCAAGGCAACGAGGAGTGCGTTTTACTCCCGCTCAGTCGGAGTTCTGAGTCGCGACGGACAGCAGTTCTTGGCTGAGCTTCACGAAACCCAGACTCAGTCCGAGCATTCTTCGTCATTCCGTAAGCGGTGGTTTGCACCATGCAATTCAGGTTATCTGAATCGGTGAGACTTCAAAATCAATAATCAACCGCAGGTGACGCGGTGCAGCTTGGCTGCCAGCGTCGGGAAGATACTTATATGAAGGACTGGAACGAGAGCCAAGGTCAGACTTCCACGAGATCTTCGTCGTCGCTCTGGCCGTGCACGCTTGCAACCGTCACAACCCCGGAAGAGGGCTCACCGCACGACTCGCCACTCTCCGGACTCTTCAGGCTCGCAGCCTTGAAGGGACTCCGGCCGAAGAGCGCCCGCACGACTGGGGCGCCAAGGCGTGGAACAGCAGCAACCCGGGCGGGGCCTGCAGCGGATAGGCCAACGACCACGGAGTTCACGAAAAGGACGTAGAAGGTCTCGTAGCTCGGACCACTGAAAAGGCCACTGTATGTTAAGACGACGGGAAGCAACAGAAGTACCTGAGTCCTTTCTGCGAAAGCCTTGCGATGATCAGGCATAAGGACAAAAAGCAGGTAGAAGGTCACCGCCTCCAACGCAGCTCCCACAAACACCACCCAGCGCAGCCAATGTGCCATTTCTTTGTCATCGTGTTGCAAGATCCGGCCAATCCATATTTGGTTTGTGTTCGTCACCCACCACATCAGACTCACAGCCAGAATGCTGCGGCTCCAAGTTGAAATGTCCCCAAGTGGCCCGGTGTACTTGGTGATCTCTTGAAGGTCCTTCGAGAAGAGGTTCATGTCCACCAGGACTTGCACAGCATGATTCACCATGTCTTGCTGTCCCTGGTCTTCGATCTCCTGACAAGCACACAAACCGCATCTCATCATGCGGTTCTCACGTGCAGTCGTCCTGCCTACAAGATTCGCTGAAGCTAACTTTTGATGCCGCTGGTTGATGACAAACATCATCAATCAACATCATCATCTTCTTCATCATCATCAGCTGTGGCATCGTGGCCTCACCCTGACTGCGCAGCCCTCCGATAGTGTCCTTTTGGATGCGCTTCCCATCCGACATGTTGGCGCTGTTGGCCGCCTGGATGCCTTTGAAGCCGGCCTTCAGCTGTGCCGTCTGCTTCTTTCCACTGATCGCCAAGAGACGATCCATCTCTAAGCCGGCCATGAGGCACACTGCCACGGTCATAAAGACCATGTTGTTAGACCTCTTGAAGCCTTTCCGATAGCACAGCGTAATTCGGTAGAGGGCACACAAGGCACCACAAACATAGATTGCCACTTGGAGTATCTTTCGGTCATGCCTGTTCGTCTTGTACAGGAAGACTAGGACGAAGAGGCAAACAAGTCCTGCTGCTTGGGAAATTAGTTCGACAACTCGTGTTTGATCTTCCGAATCTGGAGGCAGCTGGCCGACAAGTAAGAAGCCAAGCCCGTGAAAAGCACATCCGGCAAAGAGGTTGCGCAGCACTCGAGGCCAGAAGTGTGGAACCGGTGCCATGGCGGTACGAATAGGCTTCTCCAATCGGTATGCCAAGAAAGCTTCGTAGACGCACCAGATTCCTTGGCTGTACACAATGAAGACTTTTACCTCCAAGCCGCATGCCCATCACTTTTGGCACAACGAAGCACGGACTGTGTTTGTCAGTTTCTTTGTCGTTTATGTTCATTTCTTAGCTGTCTTCGTGCTGCGTTGTGGGCTTCTGAACATTACATGGTGTTCATGACTTTCGTCCTCGTTCTCATGGAACTTATTTTGGCGCAGGTGTTGGTGATTTTGTGTCTGCCTTTTTGGTTTGCAGGCTTTGAAAATCTCGTAGAGCCTATGTAACCTCAAGAGAACCCTCGTGCTTCCCCACTTCCCCAGCCTGGAGGATTCCTTCAAGCTGGGGCCAGGTCTGCAAGAGTCCCTAAAGTAAGGAACTTGTTGCTCAGGGTCTATGTCAGAAGGAGGCTTCCGTACTTTCTGAAACTAGCGAATCGGCTTTCGAGGGGGTATCTGATTTGTTTTTTGATCACTAAACTGTTTAGAGGTTATAGCGCATCGACACGAGCACCAAATCCTACACGCCGCCCGTAAAGCGATATGGCCTGGCCAACCCCGGACACTGAAGCTACCTATCTCCCTTCCAGGAGTTTGAGTTGACAGGTATGGGTATACAGATTAGAGCTCTTGGTTAGAGACGGTAGTGGAGGGCTCATGGCTTGGAGTGTAAGATTTCGTTGTAGTGCTTGCTGCGCCAACGAATTTTACAAACAAGACTGTCAAAGACTTGTTGAACTACGCGAACACCCGACACTTAAATTCCAGACGAGTATTCAAGCAGCCTCATCCTGAATTGATTGAAATGGTGCTTACATATATAGCAACAACAACTGCTTGTGATCGGTACATGAAAAATAAGCTGTCAAAAAGGCACCCAACTGAGATGCTAATTTGCTTGATGACGACACCTGGAGTCGCATGTCCTTGCAACTGGGCCTGATTGAGGGTGTTGACGCTGCCTGAGAAGATTTATTTGTCAACATGACACCGGATCACGCGTAATGGTAGGACGAGCTATCATACAAGCTGATTTCCGTTCACATGAAACCAAATACGTGTTGAGGTAGTGAGATATAGGTGAAGGTACGCATCATGATGACAATTATTTACAAGATCTGGCCAACAACCACATAAGACTTGAGGGTATGTGAATGTGATGATAACTAACATCAATGGTAGGGTGCAAAAATGCACGGATTGTAAGCAGCACGTACTGAAAATGAATATTCGTGTTTGGATGGTATGGGTTTCATATAAGAAAAGAAAGGGATCACAAGCAATACTCCGTATCATTCTTGTGTTGGATTGCTTCGTGTGTTAGTGCAGGGGTTATAGGCAGTACTTAGCATGGTTGTTCGTGTTTGGACGGATAGTAGGTAACAAGCAATACTTCGTAAGATTTTTCGTGTTCGGATCTTGTGGGTTGCAGGGGAATGAACGGGTTATAGGCAACGTATGACGATCTGCCTTTGGACGGTCTGGTGCAATGTCAAAAGGTTTGTAGGGCCATACTTAGCATGATGCTCTGTTCCCTGCATGGTACAAGAACTATAGTATAAAAAAGGCAATTCCTTGGGGGGCTGATTTCACCGCTCCAAAATTGGCGGTCTACAGCAAGTCTGTGAGTCTGTAGATGGGCGTAAGGGAGGGCTGTGAGCGGTAGGTCTGGTAGGTGGGGCCTGACGACTTTACAAGCAGCGCACAGAAGCGATACTTAGCATGATTATTAGTGTTTGGATATTGCGGGCTTCCAAATTTTTTTTTCTTCATGTATTCTGTTCTTTACATGTGTATTTCTGTCTGTATCTCTGTCGTTATGTTCTTCTTTGATTGTTTTCGTTCGTCATATATGTATCTGTCTCTGGCTTTCTGGCTTTCGTTCGCTCTTTCGTTATTGCGTTCTTTCTTTCTGTCTTTTCGTTATTTATGTCTTTATTTCTTTCGCGCTTTGTTTCTTCCTTTCTGACTGTATTCCTTTATTTCTCTCCCTCTTTCCTTCTGTGTTTGTGTATTTCTTGATTTTTCTGTGCGCCTTCGTCTCCTTTTCCATCCCTCCTCCACCCCGCAACCAAACCAAAGCACAAGATCAAAAAACTTACCGAAAAAAGCATACAAGTAAAAATACCCTACCCCAACCAACGACTCAAAGCACTGAAATGCCGGCAAGGCTAGGTAAGGCAAGCAAGATTCTCGTGTAAATGCTCACCCTCTGGTTTGGTACGACCAACATCTGCTTTGACGACGCGAGGGCTTTGGCAAAGGGAGACTCGGATGGAGACGTGATCAGGCCCCCAATGTCCAAATTTTGCGGGTTGGACAGAAAGCAGACGTATGCAGCTTTCGCACCACTTGGCCAGGAGTTGGTGACTTTGTCCACAAACTCGAATATTCCTTCCGACCATGCATGTGTGATGAAGAGATCGCAATCCATGCCAGCCGGATGCTTCATGAGCGCCCAACTCGCATTGCCGGCTTTCTTCGTCACAGTCTTGATGTACTGCTCCGTGACAGTGTACATCGACGGCCCTGTGACAACATCCCAGGCATCAAACGGATCTCGGTCAGTGGGTTTGATGCGACCGTCAGCAATAGCCTGTAGAACGAGTCGACGAAACTCGTGTATGTCAGCAAGCGTCCTCTTACGCTGGGAATAGAAACCGAAAACATGGGCATGGATCATGGTCGTCTGTCACTAAATCCGCAAACTCTGCCCTTCCGAACAGCCTTATTAAGTTAAGCCAAAGCTCACACTCCACCTGTGCATCTCCACTGTGCTGTGCAGATGTGCACCATCAAGTTGGACTGGATTCTCCTCCATTGCCTTCTCTCGCTGCGAGGGCATGCCGTAAGGTGAGTTGGAACGATTGATAAGCCAGCTGCACACAAGAACACCGACGATGCCCATCGCCAAGAGAAGAGGACCCGCTACCTGAACATACATATGATCCCCAGTTGGCACCGGGCCCGCGATTGGCTCCGAGCAGCATCGGAAATGATAGTGCGAAGACCAGAAAAGCATCTTGGTGACGCGGGGCTGAAAGCCCTTCACACAGACACAGGGCTCGAGAATCGTGCCAGCATAGCAAGGCCCCTCCCACCGGCTGGTGTTGCCTTAGTCAGTGTTGAAGCACTCTCGGAGACAGACACAATCCAAGAACCTTCAACAGCTAACTG